GACAGCGATGTTTCACACGGCGAGGGTTAATCCGGAATGGATTAACCTTGCTGTGCGAGGCACCACTGTATTTCTGTCTTCTTCACCCAACCAGGTTGATTTCAGAGCAACTGTTTTTTAGGATGTTGGGGTGGGGTGGGGGTCCATTTGCTGAAATCAATAACACAGAATCAAGGTATCATGCATGCCAGAGTTTATCCTCAAGGCGGTGTAGAAGGATTTCCATGCAGTGCAACTCCCCTAAGCCCCAACCACCACTGCCCAAGATAAGGACGATGGGACCTCGCAGTCCTGGGAGTCTCTCTGAAGGCCACCTTCAAACGTGTCGCTTTTCAAACACCAACCCAGTGCAAGCTCTAAAACCCGATGCCTCAACTTGTAATTTGAACCCCCACCTTGTTCAGAATAGTTCATCCCTAGAAAGATGTGGCTTTTAAATGCAGTGGTTAAGATCTTGGATAAAAATTGGGAAATCCAGTTCGAACTTCTCACAGCCGTAAAATCTCACGGTACAGTTTAAGACCATGGCCGTCTTTTGTTGCCCAATCTATCACACTATTAGGAGGGTGTGTGTCATGTAGGGCAGTGGTCCCCAACCTTGGGGCCTCCAGATGTTCTTGGACCACAACTCCCAGAAGCCTTTTCACCACCACTTCTGCTGGCCAAGATATCTGGGAGTTGAAGTCCAAAAACATCTGGAGGCCCAAGGTTGGGGACCACTGATGTAGGGCTTTATCAAGAATTGGGGTGTGTGTGTTTAACTTTGTGTAGGCTGAGGTTCCCAAAATTAAAATAGCTATTCTCCAAAACCCTGTTGCTTGTAAATCACGCTAGAACAGGCCCACTGGTTCAATGGGGTTTAATAAGTCAGCTTCTCCGTTAAGTTCCATTGATTCAAATGGGCCTGGGCTAATTGTGACTTTAAGTAGTAAGATTAGCGTAGTAAGCTGCAGTTAGAGTAGGCCGATTTGAATCCATTTGCAGAAGACTCGACTCGCCAAATCTCCCCTGGGTCTCCTTTAGTGCAGTTTACTAGGCTAAGCCACCGGATTTTGGCCGCGAGGTATGAAAGCTGAGGTTTTATCAGTTCTACCGTCTACAACCCTATTTTAAATTGAGATTTATTGTAATATTATTTTTAAAAGTAAAAAAGAATTCCAGTTTTTACTTCCACGAAAAAGTATGAACTCAGTTTGAACTTCCTTCTTGCAGCGGAGTGGGAAATATTGCGTAACCAGTTCTGATTTTAATAGTCGAGTCAATGTTTAGAAGAGTGAGCTTGTTGGTTGAAAATTTCCTTATGAATTGCAAACCAATACCTTCAAGCGCCTCCTCGACGTAGACTCTCACGGGTTGAAACTGGCAGAATAGCTGGAACCACAATCTGCAGATGTTTGATTTTAAAGTGGGTCACCACTTTCTTTTGCTTCAAACGCCTTTTATCTTTTAAAAACTGTTTGGCACGTGTTTATCCAAACTTGCAATTCTGTTTCAAAAACTAAATTCCCCCCCCCCCCCAATCCAGTATAGATATTTAAAAATGCTACGCCAAAGACTGATTTGGCACTTTCGCAAAAGCATGCGTGGCCTTCTCTTATTTCTTCCCAAATGTCTGAATTATAATTTAAATATTTTACAGCACTGATTGGGGTATTTGGTGAGTCAACTCCTCCCTAAGTGCCTTTGGTTCAAATGGGTCTACTCTAAGGGAGACTTACTTTCACATAGCAAGTTGCGGTTTGAGTAGGCCTATTTAAGTCAAGAAAACTTACGAAGAACTTGACTCACCAATATTCTCAGTTGGAGAATACCGTTCTGACTCACATCCTGAATGTCTTTTTCTACATTTTTGAAGACTGTATCTCATAGAGAGCCATTGAATCATAGTGTAGGAAAGGGCATATAAGGTCATCAAGTCCACACACGCACGCATGCACACACACACACTGGCTTAGTACAGAAACCCAAATCCAAGTAGATCTGACAGTGGGTTGACCAATTTTCCTTTGAATGCCTCCATTGGAGGTACAGTGGTGCCTCGCTTAATGAGTGCACCGTATAACGATGAATTCGCATAGCGATCCCTTTTTTGGGATCGCTAATGCGAAGGCATCCCAACCGCCGCAATGGGCAAAACTCGCATTGCAACGATCGGTAAGCGTTTTGCTTACCGATCTTCGCATTACGACGCCCGCGGATCAGCTGTTCAGCGGTTTCAAAATGGGTGCCGGATGCCCAAAATGGCCGCACGCAGCGTTTTCGCGCCCTGCCCTCGCTTACCAAGGGTGTGAAAATGGCTGCGGCTGGGGAAAACTTCGCTTAACGGCGAGTACAGAAGTCATTGGAACACATTAAACTAAGTTTAATGCGTTCCAATGGCATTTTCCATCCTGTTTAGCGATATTTTCTTATAGCGATGGTTAATCCAGAACGGATTAACCTCGCTATGCAGGGCACCACTGTAATTGGTTCCATTGTCATGCTGCTCTAACAGTTAAGAAGTTTTTCCTGATATTCAGCCTAAATCTGTCTTCCTGTAGCTTGAGCCCAGAGTCAGACACGACTAAACGACTAAACAACAAGAATAATTTCCATGATTCTTTCCCTGGGTCTTCCAGCCCACGAGCATCAAAGTGTTAAGTGTCTCTGAAGGCTGCTTCTTGCTGTCCACAAAAGATTGTGTTTCCACAATTAATACTATTTTTCTGCAGTTCTCTAAAACAATTCATTGTCTCTCTGAACCCACTGAGAAGAGCACGCCAGCTTGTTTGCCGTCCACGATTTTAAGATATTTTTCCCCCCAGCAAAAATCTGGGATTTTTGCATTGAGCATCAGAATGATTCCTACCTCAAGTTTCTTGAAACGTTCTTTAGCATGTTTCCAGGTTATGTATTCCTTTGTGGCCAAAGTTCCTTATATTTGGCCACCTAATCGAACTGCTTCTGTATGCTTTGTTCAGGCAGAACCCACTTTAAAACATTTTTACGTCCAGCTCCAGAGTTTTCTATTTCTGTATTCTTCTCCAAGGCTCTTGCAACTTCTTATTTGCAAGTACTGTTTCATTTTAGACTTTTTTTTAAAAAAAGAAATATTTAGAGGGGTTGCCTCGCTAGACAGTTACCCCGCATGACTGTTTTTTCGCTAGACATTGGCTTGTTTCCATCGCTATAGCGATTCGCAAAACAGTGATTCCTATGGGGGGATTTCGCTGGACAATGTTTGGTCCCTGCTTCACAAACCGATTTTCGCTAGACAACGATTTTGACAGCTCCCTCCGCGCTCGCAAAACGGGTGTTTTCAGGACCTACGCTTCGCAAGACAGTGATTTAAACAGCTGATCGGCGGTTCGCAAAGTGGCTTTCCTATGGCCGATCTTCGCAAGACAATGACGATTCTTCCCCATTGGAAAGCATTAAACAGGTTTCAATGCATTCCAAATGCTTTTCGCTAGACGATGATTTCGCTAAACAGCTATTTCAGTGGAACCGAGAAAAACCAAAGGAAATTTGTCAGAAGTCAAGGAAAGTCAAGGAAACTGTGACTAAGATATATTTGAGTAGGGTTTGTTTGTTTGTTTTTGTATATTGCTGCAACAAAATATTTTTCTGCCAACTGGCGAAGTGACGTAGATGCAACTTAATGACCTCCTTTCCCTCCTCTAGACTTCCTCAATTCCACCTCGGTTGCTCCAGCAGATTGCAAGGTTAGCCTGTCGAATTTACGAAACAAAGCTAGTTTAACAGCTGGATAGCTCAGAGTTTTAGGTCTCTGGCTATGGAACCAGACATTGGGTCTCTTCCAGACCTGCAGATTATTATTAAATGTTTAGGGCAACAAACTCCAAACATGTAACTATTTTAATCCCTATATGCTAATATTATTCATTTACATAAACAGACAAACATGGGCTAGGATCATGCTTATGTATGGAGTGGAAGCTTTATTTCCTGCTAAAGAAAGAAACACGTGGGTCCCCCAAGGTTCAGTCCTGGCGCCCTGTTCTCTTTGACATTTTTATTAACGTGGACGAGGGAGTGCAGGCAATACTG